TTTAAGTTCTAAACATAAAAAAAGAAATCCGATCATTATCGATAAACCTAGATCTCTATTCAAAGTTCCAAGGTAAATAATTTGAAACCTTTCCCTGGTGAATGAACCAGATCTCTTGAAGATCTCTAGCCGAATCAACCCAAACCCGACAACCGTTACTTTTGCTGGGCATGCTACTGTATCACTAATAGTAGCAGGTATTGAGGGATGGCGACTACTTCCGCTGCGCTCTATCTTTTCGAAGGTGATATACTTATCATAGAAGACCCAGAGACGCCGAGGCACTCAACAAACGGTCGACAACGGCTCTGTAACTGCACATCTAACAAGGGAAGGATACTTGGTCGCAGTGGCCATTCAAGATGAGATGTATACCCCTAGGTGGTTTTGAAAGCTGATTTCAAATTTGTGTGCCATGCAAAACGATTCTGGAGACAAAGTTACGGGACCGATGCCTCCCCTGTGTTGTAGCACTCGGATCACCGAGTCGAGCAAACACAGTACTGTGCAATGGTGGCCTAACGGCTTGTGTGGTGGGATGGTAAGCATGACATGAAGGTTCGACTCCCTAGTGCATTCGCTCGTTTTGCTTTCAAACGGAATGCGTCAGAAACGCTCGCAAAACGTTTTTGGGCTCAATGTTGGGTATCTACAGGGCTCCCTCGCAATTTAGGACTCCGGAGAATGGTGATCCAATAAATTTTTTACCGTCGTCGGCCGAATATACGTAGGTTGCCTTTTATATTTCGGGTTTAGAGAACAAAAATAAATATAAAACATTGAAAATCGCTTTACTGCCTTTGAAAGTTCTCCACATCAGGATCTATACACTTTTGCATGCGTTTGAACCAATTGTCGAAGCACTTCTGCCACTCTGATGTAGGTAACGCTTAAAACATGCATTCTGAGCGCATCAATCGCTTCACCAGGTGTCGAAAAAAGTTGACTTCTCATTTTTTTTGTACGACCGGGATAAAAAGAAGTCACCCGGGGACTATATGGCTGATGACTTTTCAAGTTGTTGTTTTCAGTGCTCCAAAATGCAGTTTTTTAGCCGATGTGTGGGAGCTCGCATTGTCGTGGTGAAGAGTGATCCGTCTTCGGCAGTTGGTTTTCCTGATTTTTTGGAAGGCATCTGGCAAACTGATGGTTGTATACCACTCAGAATTGACTGTTCTGTTTGTTCTAGTGGTATGTTTGCAACATGTCCAGTTTTTCCAGAAAAAACAGGCGACCATTTGCTTGGAAATGATTCGTGCGCGGACAGCTTTCTTTGGATTTGGCTCATCTTGAAATCCCCATACGGTCGACTGCCGTGCTCATACGCATAAACTCATGATCCATCACCTGTCATAGACGTGTTTCGGAGCACCGCGATCGTATTCTTTGAGCATTTCTTTCGACCAGTCGACACGAGTCCTTTTTTTGGGGGGATTGACAAATTTTTCAAAACCGAACTTTTTTACAGTCAACAGTTGATGCAATATTGAATGTATGTTGGTCCCTTTAAAGCCTGAGGTTGTCCCAATCTCACGTAGGTCACATGACAGTCTTGCAATATTAGTTTGCGCATAGCATCGGAATAATAACTGATTTTGAAGACCTCCACGAAATTCGCGTTGGAGTGAACTACGACCTCGATTGAATTCACCATACCATCGATAAGCAGTGGTCCTTGATGAAGCTTCATCGAAAAAGGGAGAGGGGGAGGTTAAGGAGGAAGGAGGTTCGACCTAAGTGGGGGGTGGGGGCGCCGAGGGTCTTAGTAAATTTTTTAAGTTAGTGTAAACAACACAAGGAGCGCTCATATGTCAAAACGTTCTGAGTAAGTATGACCTCAAGAGTCAAACTTTACGATAGAGCTGTCAGTTGCCAGACTGCAACAATAGTGTTGCTCAATCCCGAAATATAAAAGGCAACCCTCGTACAAGCCTCTCTACCCCTTCTACCCCTGACAGTCAAGATGGTGCTTCGGAACCTTCAGCAGCTCCCTGCATTTACGTTAGACGGCGGTCGAATGACTCATCCGACCAGTTCCTCTTCAGGAAGGATACACTCCACGCATTCTAGGAAGACTGTCCGCGCTTCCGAAGCACTGATACAAATTAACTGNCCCTCGTACAAGCCTCTCTACCCCTTCTACCCCTGACAGTCAAGATGGTGCTTCGGAACCTTCAGCAGCTCCCTGCATTTACGTTAGACGGCGGTCGAATGACTCATCCGACCAGTTCCTCTTCAGGAAGGATACACTCCACGCATTCTAGGAAGACTGTCCGCGCTTCCGAAGCACTGATACAAATTAACTGGCATTGTATGCGATGGGACATGATACAAAGGCTGTCCTCAAAACCCTGAGTCCACCTACTATTTGCTTCGAAGTTCTCCCCTATGGACCTTCATTTTTGATTTGAAGCGGTATCCAGTGGAAATGACTCGTGCAATGGGACTCCTATATTAATTTTATGACAGCTTATCCTTCCAAATTATCTGCTAATCTCCATAAGTACGCACATCAACCCGCTTGTTTTGCGCCTGATAGTTGCGACCACATAAGACATCGTAAGCTGTCAATAATGGACTAATTCGGAAGCTCATGCCCTTCTAATTTCCGTGTAAGGCTCACTGTCATGATGATTCAAAACGTGTTCCTCATGTTCGAGGAGGTGCGGCCTTTTGACACTCCAACTACAAAGGGCAATAGATTCTTCTACCAGCGCATAAAATTGGAGCTCATGGGCCAGATCACAATCTTGAAGGCTACGTTTCCCTCGGAACGTCTATATCCCTACGAACGTCGGAGGTTTCATTCGCGACGTTACGGGTCCATCGTCGCTGTTCTAATCAGGCGACCGCAGAGAATCACTGTGATCGCCTTTCACGGACTCGACTTCCACGCAAAGGATTACGGGCTTGATTTCATAGCATCGATAAGTAAGGTTCGAGAGCTCTTAATTCCTAGATGGTGCCCACGTTATGCTGCAAGAACGGAATTCCTCCATAAAGTTCGATGACACCTTACTCGTTCAGAAGATTCGCTGGTAACGTGTTGAGTAGAGTCTGAACCGATGAATCATTTGGAACCTTTCTCATTGATGCCTCTTAAACCCATTTTAAGCGAATATTTAGAAGTCCTCTTTCCTTCGAATGAAGCTCCATCCTTATTCGGCCAGTGAGGGGCAAAAAAAACCTTCCTTATAATACCTTTCCAGTGTTCCTAAATTGTGAGGGAGCCCTGTAGATGCCCAACATTGAGCTTAAAAACGTTCTGCAAGGGTTTGGGACGCATTTCATGGAAAAGCAAAATGAGCGCATGCATCAAGGAATCAAACCTTGATGTCATGCCCACCAGTCCACCGTCCTATCGCTGCGCCACCGTTACACAGATACGGCTTTGTTCGGCGCGGTGATCCGTTCGGTACAGTGCTATAACACAAGGGAGGCATCGGTCCCGTAACTTTGTTCCCAAAATCGTTTCGCAGATTTGGAACACAGATTTGAAATCAGCTTTCGAAACCACCTACGGGGGTATACATCTCATCTTAAACGGCCACTGCGACCAAGCATCCTTCCCTGTATGGGGCTACACTGACATTTACGATGCATCGACTATAACCTTGAGCATGGGCACCGTGATAGTGAGTGAGGCAAATCCAGTAATTGTGAAATGCTACCGTGATAAGGTGTGAATGAGCTAGCACGCTACCGCTTACACTTTGACAGGGAGGGAATGAATCAGTAGTCAATTGAATGTTCAATTCATCCCACAAGTTTTTGTATAAGGTAATATCTCACTTACCCCGATGCTCCTTCCTGAGGCTCAGTTTAAAAAAACTATAATCCCCTCGCTAAAAACGTTTTCAATCACCTTTACAGGCCCGCAGAGTCGGCTACCCCTCCCTCTCTGCACACACGCGCATTCTCGCCAAATTTTGGTTCCCTCAACCTGAACATTTCTACCCTACTCATTACTGATATATTATATTATATACCAATAAGATGTATTAACGATGCAATAACTGACTGAATAACACTTACCTATTAAGCTGTTCCATCTTGCTGAGTGAATTAACTTGAGTACCCGTTAGATGAATATGACAAGCTGAAGAAAACAACAGTTCAACCACTCGGTCGCAAGGACGGGACAGTGGAGGAGGGGCAATCCAAATGACAAGAAGGATTGAATAGTCCCATGAATGTATTACACAGTAACCCGAATACTCACTGGGGCGCGTTGCTCGCACTAGAGCGAGGACGGTAAAACCCTTTAGGCCCCTTTCTTCTCAGAGTTTAGAATTTGAATAAATGGTCACTGGGTCTTTCTTACATTTTCAATAATAGAGCAGGCCTTGCTTTTTATGCAAGAGTTTGTGAAAAAATCGTCGCCGCCCTAGTAAAAAAGTATGTGCCGTCAAGCCAGCCATTGATCCGGTTAATTGATATGAATAATAAATTCGATAATTGAGTAATAAATTCTCCAGTAAACTTCGATGTAATATAGAAAAATGACCAAAACGGGGTTTTTACCAAATACTGCTGTATGCTACTAATTCCGCGTCGCACTTACATCTGAAGGAGGGTGAAGCTCACAGCACAAACTTGGTATATGGAAAAGGGCATATGGAAGTGTAAGCTGGTATGTAGAATACATGTGGGTGGTTCATTTAATGTGATCAATAGGGAAGGCAAAACCATTGACTTTTCGGAAATAATCTGGTTTCGTTGTTCAAAGATTCTTAAATCAATAGCATGTCAAAAGGCAGAAGAAAAAGTGTTTTATCACAGCTAAACCAAGCTGAAATGGCACAAGTAATAGGTTGACAGTAATATCTTACGACAGCTTCTCTGACTGAATAAGCATGCGGCACCTTGTTAGACAGTCAATACTGACTACTGTGTTTTGTGTCAGCACGCTATTGCTGCATTTTCATTTCAAAATGCTCAGCCGCATACAACTTCGAATTATGCATCTGTCTCAAACATCTTCTACTAATGGCGCGAAAATGAAAGTTCAAGTTTGGGGGAAAAGGTAATTTTGCGCAGTTTTCGACTTTTACCCTCTTTCTCGGTATTTATCCGATGCCAAACTGTTTCATTTCGGAGTAGAGCAGGAGATAAAGTTGTACACAGATTGCCTGCTTTTTTGCATTATGGGCTTGACAAGCTCCGTGCAAAACAGAACCTGACTTTTGCTTCTAGCAAGGAAGAATTCCGATAGAGGTAACATAAAGAGGTTCATCGTCCGCGCTCTAATGCAAATTTACAGTACATACAGTAGCGCTCAAAAAAATTCAGCTTACATTAACTTGCCGTAACTTTTTCCCAATTGAGCAAATCGCTTGAAATTTTGAAATGTTTAACTGAAGCTTATTTCACACTATCCAACACTATTTGACTGCAGAGCAGCAATGTCCACATAATTAAGGGGAAGGTGTTTTGCTGATAGCAAGTTTGTGATGTCTGCAGTTAATCGCACCTTAGTTGCGTTTTTCTCCTCTACAGTGTTCCGCATTAGCGCTCGTACACTTTGGGCATGGCAAAAAGGGGAGAAATCCTAGAAGCACCAACATCTCTATTTTCCGTTGATTTCGAGTTCTATTTGGGATATTTGGAACATGATCAAAATGCAGATCGATAGTGGTGAATATCCACACTACACCAATGCTACACATATTGAAATTTCGCTTGATTACATCCAGTAGGAAAGGAGTTATGACTGAAAAGTACGAGTGAAGAAGCATTTAGCCGAATACTTTTGAGCGCTACCCTATGTATGGCGGACTGACTGTGTGGTAAGTGTTTTAATATTTCTTCTTTGAAACACATCTGTTTGTCATAATATTTATTTCCACCATTTACTTTATTGTCATGCACATTATTACGAAGTCTTTCCGTAAGGTAAAAGTGAATAGGGGATAGTATAAGTCACTGCACCTTCATATTTTAATCACGTATAGAAAGTTAATAGAATTTACGTGCAGCATGATTAAAACACATGTAACTGTGAGCGAACTGAAAAGAATGTGGCATAATCCCATATTGGTCATGAAACTATGTTCTTCCAGCAAGCAAACAGCATATTAATAGCACATACCTGCGATAGAATCAAGATAGTATCTGAATACAGGACTCAATCGAATGCAAAAGGCAGTACAGTGAATAGTAGCTGGATACAGTAGATAGCGGTATATAAAAGGTAGTTCAGAAAATGTGAGAACCGAATACAGGAGATAGCCGAATAGAATACAGATGGTAGTTCAATAGAGGTAGTAGCCGAATACAGCAGTTTGTCGAACAGAAATTCTAGCCCCATGAATACTGTTGACAAATGCAAAAGGTAGCTAGTGAATATAACAGTTGAATACAAAATAAAGTAGCCAAAATAATCGAGACTGTCGAATGCAATAGATCGTCCATCGAATATAGTTAGCTTAATAATAACGCAGTGTGATAAGAAGTAAGAAACAATAACACCTTGTAGTAATCCTAATTCTAGCAATGCTATACTATAATCGGGACACTTAGAATAAAGTTAACATCATATAAGTTGTGCAGAAAGATGAAATGAAAATCATACTTAAAGTTTTGAAACACTTACCACACGACAAAGTGCATGTCAATAAAGTAAATAAGAAACGATAAAACACTCACCACACTATCAGTCCGTCATACATATGTACTGCAAATTACTTTGAAGTGGTAATATCAGGGTCCAAAACGACCATGATACTTCCACTCCAGCCACCTCTTGGCATGGAGGTCGTCGTGGATGTCACCGTAGCCGTCAGGCTATCCGCCGACCCTTCATCAATGCTACTCGAGCCCGCTCGTTATGTCTTCTCCCCCTCCCCCACTCCCTTTGTCTTACTCTCTATTGCATTTAGTATGTGTAATTAACATGTACATAGATACACCTTTATACAGAAGCATCCATTATGTCCGTTACACACTTACGCATAAGAGTCATGAACCTATAACTTGTTATGGAGGTTCCAGAGAGATGATTTTTTTCCGGGGAGGCAAATCTAGAATCCCATAAGCCATGGCAACTAATAATTAGCAACTAACAACTGATTCTCCTACTTTTTTCTAACTTTGTATAACCTTTTTCACATCTTTTGTTCACTGTTCTACGAAATAATATCCTCATGCCATCATAATTTTCCTACTACATATGGGAAACAATATGGCAACGTATACGGTGCGTATACAATCTACAAAGTATACGGTCGCGTATGCAATCCGTAAAGTATACGGTAGCGTATGCAATCTGTGGAGTATACGGTTACGTATACGATTTGTTTAGAGGTCAAAATTACAACAAAAGCGCTTCTTTACTTATTGTAATGTGGCAAGACCCGCATTATCACCTAAAAATTAGTAAATTACAGCTCAGGCGACGAGTTCTCTTTTATTCAGAATGGCTTACAGCATACAATCTGACCCCAATAAATGTACCCTCATTGTAGTACAGTGTGAATTGCTTTCCTTCTAAATTAAGGTTAACGTGTCACACGTAGTAAGTGGCACTTAATGAACCTCGTGAATCCCGAAAATCGGGGAGCTTTTTCAGGACAGTTTCAAGCGGAACGCCTTGCTACCGAAGCTACGGATAACCCCATTCAAGACTTCAAATTAATCTAGAAATGGACCATATAATTGATACTTCACACTGTTACAAAAAGGACCCAGTCGCTGTAGAGAGGTCTCTTTTTATTAATACCAACCCCTGCATTAGTGCAACCTAGAGTATGTAGCCTACGCTAGCCTCACCTTCAAGAAGTTACATATATATGTATATTTATTTATCTATTTATTTATATGCGCAGGAAGGCGCGCTCTAAAGAAAGGTTTGGATACTTTGGGGCGGGGGGTTGCTGGTGATGACATAACATGAACGCAAACTACATTAATAAGAAAAAAATCAGCAAATAATAAAAAAAACAAAACGAAGCAGGCGAAAAGGTAAGAGACAGCACCAAACTAGCCGAATGTATGAGGAGATTTTTGAGACCAGAGAGGGTTGAACAGGGTCTAGGAAGGGGAAAGAGAAGGAGGAGGGGACCTACCAGTCAAGCAGTTGATTGCCAAAAGCCCGATAATGAGTATATTTATCAGGGATGAGGAATCAGTCCAGGAGGAGAAGTAAAGTGCGAGCCCTTCATGAGTGCAAATACAACGACCACTTGTGACACGGACCCGCACCAGTCGGCAATGGTGCCCAATCGACACACAAGGGGTCATAGGGGCCAGCCGGAACTCCGAGCCACGGGTATACCGACAGTCCCTCGCGGAACCGGAAGGCTGGGTGAGTGCCACAAACTAGCCGCTGGAATGCTCCCAGTCTGGACTTGACATTCTACCCTCCTCCTTGGAATGCTAATAGGATATAATATGAACAACGCGTCAATTAATGTTAAGCTAATCTAGCTAGCTGTGTATGACTTGGGTCGAGCTAAGGCAACAGTGCCTTAAAACCAAGCCACTTGACTGGCAAGTTCGGCGGGGTACAATAGGAAACATGATAGACGAGTAACTACCGTTTTAGGAGACATCATCATGCCGAAGAAGTTCAGTATGTTAATTTTTTGATGGAAGTTTCGAACTGATTTCAGCCTTTGTGTACCTTAAGCCACGAAGGCAGCAACTCCAACCATTTGGCTGTACGGACCATAAAAGAATTCGCTCCCAGCTCTCTGCGCCTTTTGCCCATTTTGAGATGATGGATTTCAAGATGAACTGTTCGCCCAGAAGTTGGTCGAGACGTTCAGTATCTCGATGGTTTGTTAAGAAGCTCGCCCTTGAAAACTTTAAACGCTAGAATCAGATCAGATTAAGTACGCCTATAGAAAAGGCTTTTCAGTTTCGATATTCGGAGACGGGATTGATATGGGGGCAGCGCTCGCGGATAGTCCGCATTGGGAAAGACTCGATAGAATAGAATCCTGGTGAATGATTTTTGAACTTTCTCAATTTTTTGAATATCTTGCTTCAGCGAGGGGCTCCAGACAGGACTACAGTATTCCAGCACAGGCAGAACATTCGTTTTGTAGATTTTAATCCATATTGAAGAATCTGTAGTGTGCATAGCCCTAAACAGAAGGCGAACAAGCTTGAGCCCTTCTAAATATCATCTATGTGAACACCCCACTTGAAATCATTGGATATCCGAGATCTCTAACACGGTCTGTTAGCTTTACATGGTAACGATTGGGAAAGCATACGTCAACTTGAGGAGAACCCCATGAAAACATGCAAGTTTCTTCACGGTTGACTACCAGTCCCCAGCAAGCACACCAGGCGTGCATATTCTCGATGGCTTCGGTTAGAAGTACTTGTGCTTCATCCTTATTCTCTCCATCAAATGCTACAGATACCTTTGTGTCATCCCCGTACGCCGCCACATGAAGCTCACTACACCTACGGAGGAATTGCTCAAGATCACATGTGTATATCAGGAAGCTGCCTTCCTGGGAAACTTCTGAGGTATAGGTTCCAGGAGCGGACACATGGTCAGAGAAGCGCACGCTCAGTTTCCAGCCTGCAAGGTACGATTGGAACCATCTAATTTCCCTCCCGTGGACACCTATGCTCTCTAGTTTCAAAAGTAGGCTAGATCTATGTAGGTATCAAATGCTTTACTCAAGTCAAAGTAGATGGCGCTGACTTTTCGCCCGGAGCTGATTGCTTCTATCCAGCAATGCGTGCAGTCAATTAACTGCGTACGAGTGAATGAGCCAGGAAGAAAGCCATGCTGTTTGAGCGGGATACACCGAAGCTGAGAGACCCATTATAGCAGAATGCCATTGACTATTTTTTCCAAAATTTCGAGAGGTGTAAGCAAAATACTTATAAGTCGAAAGCTTGAAATTAATCTGGATTCAGTGGACTTAGGGATGAACGTAACAATGGCGTGCTTCCAAATGGATGGAACCTGCCCTAGTAGGAAGGTCATATTATATATGTGAGGCACTCCGGTAAAATACCGGTAACACGTGCATTCACCCTTACCTCAACCAGCTACCTTGTCCAAACAATCGGGAAAAGATGGAAGGTTATTGATGTCGATAAAGGCCAATCACGGTTTTTCAATTCATTCATACCTTGGCCGTTATTGCGAAGGATGTTAGTAGAGTAGATAACACGGCACAGCTCTGCAATTGCGACCCACTTCAGGCTAGTTTTCTATTACTCAGCGTAATTAAGGGATATATCATCTGGTTCATGTCCAAATCAAAAATCCACTCTGCAAGCCAAACATGCAAGGAACGGAATTGGAAGGGCTACTGCTGTGACGTCGTGCCAGCAGAGGTTCTACAGCCAGTGTCTTCAAAATTTGGTAAGATACCACGAATTGTAGTGTAGACTCAGCTAGTTTCGGTCCTTTCAGGAGACCTACTTTTAGATCTAGCCTACTTTTGAAACTAGAGAGCATAGGTGTCCACGGGAG